TTACAAAACATGATCATCTCATACAATAAAATATAGCATCACGTCTTGACCATATCACATCACAACATGCCCTGCAAAAACAAGTTAGACGTCCTCTACTTTGTTGTTGCAAATTTTACGTGGCTGCTACGGGCTGAGCAAGAACCGTTCTTACCTACGCATCAAAACCACAACGATAGTTCGTCAAGTTAGTGCTGTTTTAACCTTCACAAGGACCGGGCGTAGCCACACTCGGTTCAACTAAAGTTGGAGAAACAGACACCCGCTAGTCACCTGTGTGCAAAGCACGGCGGTAAAACCAGTCTCGCGTAAGCGTACGCGTAATGTCGGTCCGGACCGCTTCATCCAACAATACCGCTGAACCAAAGTATGACATGCTGGTAAGCAGTATGTCTTGTATCGCCCACAACTCACTTGTGTTCTACTCGTGCATATAACATCAACGCATAAAACCTGGCTCGGATGCCACTGTTGGGGAACGTAGTAATTTCAAAAAAATTCCTACGCACACGCAAGATTATGGTGATGCATAGCAACGAGAGGGGAGAGTGTTGTCCACGTACTCTCGTAGACCGTAAGCGGAAGCGTTATGACAACACGGTTGATGTAGTCGTATGTCTTCACGATCCGACCGATCCAAGCACCGAACGCACGACACCTCCGAGTTCAGCACACGTTCAGCTCGATGACGATCCTCGGACTCCGATCAAGCAGGGTGTCGGGGATAAGTTCCGTCAGCACGATGGCGTGGTAACGATGATGATGTTCTACCGACGCAGGGCTTCGCCTAAGCACCGCAACGATATGACCGAGGTGGAATATGGAGGGGGGCACCGCACACGGCTAAGGAACGATCACGATGATCAACTTGTGTCTAGAGGTGCCCCCTTGCCCCCGTATATAAAGGAGGGAGGGGGCGTGCGGTCGGCCCCCTAGGGGTGCGCCTGGAGGAGTCCTACTCCCATCGGGAGTAGGACTCCCTCCTCTTGCCTTCATGGAGAAGGAAAAGGGGGAGGGGAAAGAGGAAAGGGGGGCGCCGCCCCCCTTCCTTGTCCTATTCGGACTAGGGGGGAGGGGGCGCGCGGCCTGCCCTGGCCGGCCCTCCTCTTCTCCCTCATGGCCCATGTAGGCCCATTAACCCCCGGGGGGGGTTCCGGTAACCCCCCGGTACTCCGGTAAAATCCCGATTTCACCCCGAACGTTTCCGATATCCAAATATAGGCTTCCAATATATCAATCTTTATGTCTCGACCATTTTGAGACTCCACATCATGTCCGTGATCACATCCGGGACTCCGAACAACCTTCGGTACATCAAAACTTATAAACTCATAATAAAACTGTCATCGTAACGTTAAGCGTGCGGACCCTACGGGTTCGAGAACTATGTAGACATGACCTAGAACTGTGTCCGGTCAATAACCAATAGCAGAACCTGGATGCTCATATTGGCTCCTACATATTCTACGAAGATATTTATCGGTCAAACCGCATAATAACATACGTTGTTCCCTTTGTCATCGGTATGTTACTTGCCCGAGATTTGATCGTCGGTATCCAATACCTAGTTCAATATCGTTACCGGCAAGTCTCTTTACTCATTACGTAATGCGTCATTCCGTAACTAACTCATTAGCTACATTGCTTGCAAGGCTTATAGTGATGTGCATTACCGAGAGGGCCCAGAGATACCTCTCCGACAATCAGAGTGACAAATCCTAATCTCAAAATACGCCAACCCAACATGTACCTTCGGAGACACCTGTAGAGCTCCTTTATAATCACCCAGTTACGTTGTGATGTTTGGTAGCACACAAAGTGTTCCTCTAGTAAACGGGAGTTGCATAATCTCATAGTCATAGGAACATGTATAAGTCATGAAGAAAGCGATAACAACATACTAAACGATCAAGTGCTAAGCTAACGGAATGGGTGAAGTCAATCACATCCTTCTCCTAATGATGTGATCCCGTTAATCAAATGACAACTCTTTTGTCCATGGCTAGGAAACATAACCATCTTTGATTCACGAGCTAGTCAAGTAGAGGCATACTAGTGACACTATGTTTGTCTATGTATTCACACATGTATCATGTTTTCGCTTAATACAATTCTAGCATGAATAATAAACATTTATCATGAAATAAGGAAATAAATAATAACGTTATTATTGCCTCTAGGGCATATTTCCTTCAAGGCGCAACACCTTTCCCCTTCTTGTTCCTTCGTGCCTTGTGGCACCTCATCTCACCTCTGTTGTACTCGTTTGTTTTCTTTATCTTCCTATGGTATTCGGTGTTGACCGCAAACCCATGGGACTTTGCATATGTCTGGTAGAATTCCTTTGCTTCTTTGAATGATTCAAATCTCTGCCCAACGTACAGTGGCTGAGGTACCACGATCTCTGATTGCCCACCATCTTCATCCCCTTGTGCCTCATCGTCAGTTTCATCATTCACTTCAGTATCGGTGGCGGTTTGATCTGCTTGAGTGTTGCTAGTGCTTGTGTTCAAAGGGGTGCTTGTCGGCATTGCAGGAATGATTGCCATTTCTGACTCTGACTCGGTATTGTCTGCGGCATGGCTTGTGTCTGGCTGGAGGACCGCGTCTTCCATGCGCTCAGAGCTTCCCGCAGTAGATGCCCCTGCGCCGCTGTTCACTTTAGTCGTAGGCCCTGTAATATAAAAAACGGGGACAAGCGTAAGATCTATTGCTTGAATGACATGTTTATCGTAACGGAGTACATCAACTTCAAGTGATTTGGCATGCCATCATTCAAACAAGCAAGCTGTTAGTCTGGATGCCGACATGCATGGCAACTGTAGTTGTCTAGTCACGGTAGCTACTGTCCAACAAACATGGCAACTACTGGTTTTTCAGTAGTTGCATCAGTCATGCATGGCAACCAGCTCATTTTTTCAGTATGAAAACTTGAATTTTATGTGCATGGCAGCTGTAGTCCTGCATACATGGCAAATACTGCCGCCAACGCATGGCAAACTAGTGTGTTCTAGCATCAATTTTTTAATATTCTAGTCTCGAGCTCACTATGCAAATTTTTTCATTTTACCTTGATGTGCTATATGTGCCCATCTTGTGTGTTCCGTAACACCAAATTGATGTGCTGCATCTGCATTGTGTGAAGCTTGCCATGAGACGCTTGTCGGGGTAGAAGCATCGTAATAACCTGTAAACATGGTATTTAGATGGGTAATGCATGGCAACTGCAAGTTGTCCATGGATGGCAAACTCAAGTTGTTCAGGATGGCAAATGCAGTTGTCCAGGGTGGCAACTGCAAGTTGTCCATCGATGGCAACTGCAAGTTGTCCAGGGATGGCAACTGCAGTTGTTATGGGATGGCAACTACAGTTGTTATGGGATGGCAACTTGCAGTTGTCAACTACGCTCCATCTGCTAATTCATCGTCCGCAACTTCACTTATAATGGACTAACCTGTGTACGACGTCGATGGCAGGTACATGGGTGCCGACTGCCGCCACGTGCTGCACAAAGGCTCTGCATTTTTTCCCGACATAACTCGTGAGTCTTTTGCCATCCTTTGCAAGTTTATTTTTCATGTTCAGACCAGTATGTTTCATTTTCGTATGCGTTACCTTGACTTGCCACATTAGCTACTTGAAGTTGGTTGCCCGCACATTTGTCAGTGTTAGCGCCCTGCGACTGAACTTGCCATGGTGCCCCCCTGAGTGTGTTTTGGTCATAAGAACCTGCAAAAAAATGACAGCGTAGGACATAAGTAGAATATCATCTTCATCGTTGCGAACATGGCAAATGTTCTTTTTCTTATGTTTTTCATGCATCATACCAATGCCTGCGTACTGTTCTAGTAGTGGCAGCAACGGCCCTGCAGAAATGAGTTGACTGTATTCTGATGCATCTCAAGGGGGCGTTTCTGGCCTTTGAGAACCGAAAAGATCAATGTCATCTCCGTGACTCATTCTTTCCCGCATCTCGTTTTCTGCCACCGTGCTATCAATTACTGCATGAACCAGAACGCATCAACAATTCACAAAAATGTATCCTTTGTGCTGCTTGCATGTAGAAGTTAACACGTCAGTGTTATCACATTTCCATGCATAGGTAACCAGCATATCATTGCTAGTAGGACATGTACATCAACTATCTTTTTTCTAAAATATGGGTGCTAGCTAACCGTTCGATTCGATGGCATCAGCCACTACAATAGGATGGCAAGCTATAAGTTGACATGGTGGCAGTTGACGACAATGATAGGTGGCAACTGACGTTAGACACCAGTGGCAATTATTTTTGACACTCTATACTATTCCAAATTTCCCAATTTTCTCTACTTTTTTATGGATTCCTACACATCCATTCATTTACTAACTACGTGCATCAATCTACAGAGAACTTACGGTTATCTCTAACACAGTACATGGCAGATCTAGTGTACTCTGCTTGGCAACTGCGAAGACACACAATCCACGTAGGATGGATCTAGTTGCCAACCTCGTTGGTAATTTTGTACTCTGCGCCACGTAGAAGGATGAGAAGCAGTAGTTAGATCGGGAGATTACCTGTTTTTTAGCTGGTCTTCTTTGGAGAACGTTGTTAGATTGGGGGTGGGGGAAGGGGGTGTGGGGAGGTGGGGTGGGGGGAGGGTGGGAATGCCCTACGGATCTGATCTGGTTGCCATGGCCGGCGATGGAGGTAGGGGTTCGGGAGGAGGGAAAATATGGGCGGCAGTCGGGATGCTGGAGGTGGGAGAAGAGGCCGGACGGCTGGATCGTGCGGGCTGCTGGGTCCTCTGGCCCGCACGTCCGGACGGGGTTGCCACACACCGGACGTGCGGGCCGTGCCGTTGTGCGCGCGAACGTGGTCGTGCGGGCTGATTGTTGTTCATGCCGCACGAGACGTGCGGCACAACCCCCCACACACCGGACGTGTGGCAGTTATCCGAACCCTAACTTTAATACCTGGATCCATTTTCATATACAGCCTCGCCTTCTGCATGCAGTTACACCCTTGTCGACCATTTACTGTATTTTGCATTATTGCTGACCTGGATGGGCAGCGCGTCCATGTCTGCCCGGAGCGCGAACACGGGGCCGGGGCCGGCAACGCCGGCGATGGTAGCGACGACAACGGTGCGCGCGACAGGCCGGACGTAGCGGATGGCGAGGGCGTCCAGCTCGGCACGCACGAGCGCCGAGGTGCGGTGCTCCTGGAAGGCCAGCTCCGGGTGCTGGTGGATCTGCCGTCGTAGACCATGCAGCCACGCCGTGAACCCCGGCGCCCGCGCCTCCTCCAGCAGCTCCCTCCCCAGGGCCGGCGCCGACGCCATCGATCGATCAAGCAGCTAGCCAGCAGAGAGGGAGGTTGAATGGAGATGTGGGAGCTAAACCGTGACTAGCTAGGTAGTAGGTGAGATGGAACTGGAAGCCGCGCGCAGGGTGGCGTGCACGACACATGTATATATATCAGCACTGCACCACTGATGAGGTCCATGTTCAGCCCATGTACAATCTGTCAAATCGCCTCCAGCATTTTCACATTGGCCAACCAGTGATGAGTCCCATGTTCTGGCTTTTCTTTCTTTTTTTCCTGGTTTTTTTCACTTTTTTTTCTAATCTCATGTTTGTTCTTTTATGTCTTTTGTTTTTATTTTATTTTGTAGTACATACATGAATTTGTTTTCATATTGTGTGAACATTAACTTTTGATATGTGTAAATTATTGTTTCAAGTGTAAGCATTTTTTCATATAAAGGAATGTTTCTGTAAATTGGCATGAACGGTTTTAATAAATGTAAAATATATTTTTACGCTAACAAATTTTTGTGCAATACACTAATTTTTTATTATTGAATGTATTTTATTATATATTTTTCAAATACTTGTGCGGATAAAACTACATATTACTCAAAAATTATGAAACAACGATAATAATAAAATATTTGATGGCTCATGTCAATGGTCAGCCCATATAGAGCATCTTGACGCGATTTGGCACCTACTCTTCGCTTAAGGCCGAGAATAGGAGCACTTGCAATGGAATTTTCCAGGGACATGGACGGGCTGCCAATTTCTAAACTTGTCATGTAGCCAAATGAATTGTTGGCCGTTTTCGGTCTCCGTCAATTTTCTCTGGGCTACTATGAAAAATCGGACACCATATGCAATAAAAATATCTTTAGTTCTGCCGCAAAAAAAAAAAATCTTTAGTTCAGCCATCACCGTCTACTCCATTAAGCCAATGAGGTTATGGTGACGGGTCTTCGCTTTTGGTATTCTTCCTTGGTGATCTACTAATAGTGGAACACCGAAAAGAGAGGTTCTACATAGGAATTTGAGTAACCATTATGGTGTTCTTTGTTTTACTAAAACTATTTATATTTATCGTTGGTGTTTTGGATAAAGTAGTTCATGTGTGAGCAGCGTTTGGGAGTGAACAAAAAAATCATTAAAAAATCAATAAATTCAATAAATTCCGAATTTTGTTGTGGAGAAAGATACCTGAGTGCGTGATGTTCGTGCCAAATTTTAGAGCATTTCCATGTGTGAGTAACTCTCAGCAAAAAAGATTAATTTGGGGTTTTTGAAAAAGTTTACTGTTTGTGCATTGTTCGGACCTGATTTTTTTCTAAGAGCTACTTAGATGTCCAAATGCTTTGAAATTTGGCATGCACCTCACGCAATCAATCATCTTCCATGCGAAAAAAATCATTTTTTTTCTAGTATTTTGTTTATGAATACTGTTCACGGGGTGCAAATGAGCCCGAGCGCAGAATTGGATATTCAAGTTCATCTCTAAACCAAACTTGCATGGAAAACAATACATGCATTGGGTTATATGAGAAGACGGGTATGACAAGCCGATTAGCTGGTGGAACACATAATAAGAAAAACAAAACCACATATTGTAGTCCTTTCGTAAAAACAAATCGACTATTTTACTACATTGATATCTTATTATTTCATCTGACCCCACCGGCGTGGCTGCGTTTGTGGCGGCAAATCTCATTCCAGTGTAGGTTATGCACGGTGAATACCATTACTATTGGCATTTCATTATAGTTTTACTTCGGTTTTAGTTAATTAGTTTCTTACGATTGAAATAAAGAATATTCCGGTTTGCTATCTAGTTATATTTTACTTGCTTATCCCGGGTTTGGATATATTTTTCATAATTTTGATTGGGGTCTCAATGTTGTTTCATTTTTTCATCAAGTCTTAAAAGGTAATTGAAAAAGTTACATTTTATTCGGTTTAGTGCGTTCCTCTTTTTGAGAAAAGGTGTATCCTTTGTTTACTCTTTGCTTTCCAAGTAAACGGAACCATATATCGCCGAAAATGAAACCAAAGCACTTTCCATCTGGAATCCAAGGGCGTTGAAGATAGAATTAGCACAAAGCACGCACCCTGCAATTCGGCGTGAAAAGGGCAACATTCAACAAACCTCTATTCTATACTCAACATGGGTGCTCTCCCCTCCCCCCTCCTTCCCTCTCCTCCCACCTTCTCCTCTTGTGAGTCACCTCTCGTGGCAGAATTTCGTGTTTTGACCCTTTTTTGATTCAAATTCAGGATCTGACCCCGGTTGGGAAAAAATTCGGGATTTGACCCTTTTGCTACCGCCACGGGCTCAGGCGGTAGGGTTAGACAGTCTACCGCCAGGGGGGCTAGCGGTAGGCTGCGACGGAGGGGGACGGCGGCCGTTTGTCCAGGCTGACGTGGACTAGTACCCTACCGGCGGTAGGATGTCTAAATCTACCGCCAGGCGCTCTGGCGGTAGGGTGTGGCTGGGTTTTGCCTTTGCAAAGCTTCTGTAATGAAAAATGGAAGTGCCCTGGCGGTAGGTTCACCCTAACGCCAGGGGGGGTGGCGGTAGGCTGTGTGACCCTACCGCCAGGGTCCTTGGCGGTAGGGTCTTGTGTTTTATTTTTTGTAGTTTATTTGCTTGATTCTTTTCAAAAACAATTATCACAGCAAGTTTCACAAAGATGACATTAATATCACAGATCTTAAACAATTACACTTGGGCATCCCATACACATTAAAAAAAGTTGAAGTCCATAGAACATTTCAAACGAACTTCAACTAATTAGTAAACGGAGTTCCACATAGTTTCACAAATAGCAAACACATAGATCCACAAATAGCAAACATATAGTTCCACATAGTTTCACAACCACTAGACAAGTTCAACCAAATGAAGTTCAACCAAATAGCAAACTATCGAAGAGCATAATCAGTTGCTCCTTCCCCTCTTGGAGGTACGGTCCTCGTTACTCTTTGAACGAAGCTCTTCAGTCTTCTTCTTGGGTCGTCGAGTAACCGGTCTCTAGAAAGGGTCCGGACTCAGCAAATCCTTCTTCTTCGGATTCCTCTTCGGCGGCAGCTGAGGTGCTTGAGATGATTGAGTTGTTGGGGGTCCATAATCTTCATCGTACTCCTCCCTGTTGCTCTCATCCTCCTCCTCCCTTTCTTCATGTGTGGCCTCCTCCTCCTCCTCCTCCTCAACCAACCTATACAACGAGGGACCATGGCTCGATGAGGCGATGTGACCCTGTGTGGCTACAGGCTGATAAGCTTCAACCGACCCAGCTCCAGCACACCCAAGCAGGCCTACTAGCTTGCGACAACACTTCACAAACTTCTGCACTCATAATGAAACAAGGGCATAATAAGTATCAGGGTTATGATTGCAAGTGAACAAGGTGCATCTGTTCCGAGGAGGCTGAAATCGTACCTTCATCGTCCCCCTCATTTTGTTCTCAGATTATACGCTCCCGGGGGCATCACCTAGTGCATCTGAGGCTTCAAAGATCATCTGCTCAGCTCACCAGACTGCAACGGCATAAGTCAGTCACGATGACGAATGCAATAATTTAAATACAACCTCGGTTCAAACTTACCACTCTGTTGATGAGGGGGTGCAAACTCCCTAGATCCACTGTGCATGCCTCTCCAGCTCCAGCTCGGGGCCATCCCTCTCCAGCTCTGCGATGTCTTCCGCCGTCCACCGAGGCCTGAGATGAAGACGATGCTTCTGTCCATCATCGTACCACTTCATGTGTCGGTCCAGGTAAGCATCCCAGTCAGTCACTTTCCTCTCCCCGTCTTTCCGGTACCTCCGTCGGTTCCACTCTGTCACATGAGTTTTATGCTCATCTCCCTAGTCTGTGATCGACTGATTCTTCTGCTGGCTCATCCTGCAAGGCATTAGCAACAAGAAACATCATAACAAAGTCGAACACAATGAATTCATGGGCACGAAGAACAAGCGCGGGCACTCACAAGTGGAGCGTGTGGCCGCCGGTATCGGTGGGCTGGCCCGGTGGGGTATGCTGATACACCCCAAACTGCGTGGCCACGCGGTGTGGCAAGTGCCACTCGACGGCATACACACAGATCATGGGAACGATGCACGGCCAGATACCACGGTCCTCATCACACATCACGTTCAGATCAAAGTCCCACTCTCGGTCATGACACGGCCACCAGTTTACCTATTACATATATGGTGGTAAGTTCCCACTCTTGGTCAAAAGTGGAATCAAAGAGAAATGTGTTTAACGAGTTCATATACCTGTCAATGCATCAAAGCGACCAACTCGTTGGTGTAGGTCTTATACAAAGTCTTGTTTAGGCCCGTGTAGAGTTTGACAATGTCCCACTCGTAAGCTATGGTGGGGTGTCGAGCCTCATCACCGTCTTCGCTATAGGCACCCCATGGGCGTCTTGGCAGCTTCTCAGGACGCCCCACCGGCAGCCGCTCCCACATCCAAATTGAGAAGGCCCAGACAAAGCCACCCATATTGGACTTCTCTCCCGTCCTCTGCGTTGCATCGTCAAGCTACAAAAAATCAAATGAGGATCAGATATAACAAAATGTCATGGACATACTTTCGTAGGTAGGCAATTAGATACTCTCTTACCGAAAGGTATAGGTAGGCAAGAGATGCGATCCCCCAATTGTACCCTGCATCCCAGTCGGCTAGGAAGAACAGATAGGACTAGTTGGCAGAGTCCCCGGATGCGTCTGAAAACATGACCTCCGTGAGAAGATACCACAGGTAGGCCCTCGCATACCACTCCACAGTCGTCTCATCGGCGTCTTAGGGGCTTGTCTTCTAGTGCTCCGAGAGCCAGGACAACGACACACTGGATGTACGGTTACCCTTAGCCTCGGGGCAGCCGCTGATGAGGGTGGTAACCCTCTCCTGCCAGTTGGTCCTCTCCACTCGCCCGGTCAGTGCATGACCCTCGAGCGGCATGGCAGTAATCATCGACCAATCCTCGAGGGTCACTGTCGTCTCCCCGCATGGGAGATGGAAAGAAT